GTAAATATTTTATGCACAATGTGAATTAATCTATTTTTAATGAGAGAAAAAAAAGAACATAATTGTAATTAACAGTTACGAGGCTAAAATATTTGGGATAATATTGTAATTATGGAAAGGCGTAAAGTTTACTGTCACTACTTATTCCAAGGAAGATATAAAAAGAAGTAGTTATTATCAAATCCTAAGAATTGAGAAATATACAGCATAAGAAATTATTATCAATCAAATCAACGGCAATATATTTGTCTATGAATTAACTATTCAATTATTTATGTGTATATTCTAAAGGTTCGTCTGAACGTTTGAATTTATAATTTAAAACTAGCAACTGCGCAGTGTTGCTGTTTTGTATAAATACGATATATTTTGGTATTGCTGACAAGATTTGAAAAACGCACATGAGAAAATAGAAAAAGATAAAATATAACTTCCTATATTATTATCTAAAATGTTCATGCTCTTTTTGTTTAAGCCAAATATTTTTAAATGCATTACGAAAATAGTAACAAATGACCAAAAAGTATTTTTTCCCTTATTGTCCTCGAATATTTTAAATAAAATTTGAATTTAAATATTTGTCATTTCTTTGTAGAACATGCCATCCGCTTTCGTTTGGCAAAAAAAGCTTTTGACTCATGATAAATTTTGACAATTGAAAAACTAAAACACATTATTTTTTTAATCTTGTACATCAACTGCACACACACACACACACACACACACACACACACACACACACACACACACACACACACACACACACACACACACACACACGTCCCCCACATTCCATTTAATATTTTAAACATTTCCGAAACGAATATCCGACAAAAGCTAAGAAGTGACTTTTGGTTAAATTAGGTTCCGGGCGGAAATTCCCATTTCATTGTATTGTAAAATAGACATATTTTAATTCTTTATTCCATCAGTATATTCACCAAGTATGTACGCATGTATGTAGTCAGGTCACTGTACGAGTGCGGCTGGTACCATTTAACCCAGTACTATCTGCTGTATTTATCAGCGACTAAAGCGATTGCCCAACCAGGCATTTCTGGTGAGGAGGTCGGCTATTTTAATAGTTTTTTTTTTCGCACTTCCTACCTGTGGAACTCCCTTCCAAGTTCTTCCTTCCCTAATAACTACAATTTTTAAAAATTTAAATGCAACGTCAATCGCCATCTTCTGTCTTCTTCTTGAACCCGGTTGCATTTTTGTCCTTTCTTTAATCTTCCCTATCTTCAATCTTCTCATTCTATTTCCTTTCATTCCCTGAACCCCCCCCACCTGCGGTCTAGTGGCATTGTCGCCTTGTTTGGGGGTGAAACAATTAAAAATAATAATAATAATATTCTTGTGTATAATATGACTTTAGTATAATATAAAAAAAAACTCATATTTATTTTGATTGTTTTATTGTTATGCTGCTGGTTAAAAAAATCTTTTTTGAGTTGAAATCTGTCCTAATTTGGTTTACAGTAAATAGTAAAATGTTGGTATTTCTTATAAAATATTTTTACTGGCGAACAAAAGATAGTCATTTTAGTTTATATAAAGCACAAGCCGAATCCCCCACGCCTTGCCGCGTGCCACAAATTATTTTTTTTTACGAAAATGATGATTGATTTTAAATCATTTGTGGAGAAAAATGATGCATTTCAATATTACCCAATGATCTTGCCGATGTGATCTCCATCTTCTGGCTTTCTCCTTTTATGCTCCTCCCCACGGGACCCCCTTTTCGTAAAAACGAAATATGCTCATCCCGGGTAATGTAGTTTCAGAATATATATATGGTTATGGGAGTCTATCTCTAAAACCCTAAGAGGAGTTTGATAACAAACAAACAGACAGACAGGGGCTACAATTTGATATATAGAGATTCGCAATAAGTTTACATCAAGCTATATAAATGTCTCTAAAATATATAACAAGTAAAAATATTCAAGCAGGTGCGGGGTAATTAGATGATGGGTCTGTCTGAGGTGAGACCCATAATTTCATTAGCCTAGGTACCCCAAAAGGTCATAATCTGGCCCTGGTTGTATCCACATAAATTCTGGTAATATTTTGCGATTTAAAATTACATCTAACAGTGTACACTATTTATATAGCGATATAATTGTTTCAGGGGTTGTTTACATACCACCGATTTTTTATTGTTTTATTTATATCGAAAAAATAAGTAATTTTTTTAAACTGGATATTTTGTGTCAGCAAGCATGGGAATTATCGCCACCATTTTTCAAACCTTTTAGTTGGGATGAAGACGTAGTATCTCTTCACTCGTTCACACCTTATTTTTTGATTCCAATCGTGCGGCAACACCTTCCTCGTTGTACTGAGAGGTTGTGTCGATGTAATATTAATGCCAGCGTGACCGTCGTCGGGGGAACTGGGCAATTTTTATCCTTGGCCCACATGCATATTCATGTGTATGGGCACCTCACATTAAAAACGACCTTAAGAAGAAGAAGAAGAAGAAGAAGAAGAAGAAGAAGAATCATTATTATTATTTTAAAATTCTGTATTAATTTCTAGCGGTCAACTGATACTGTTATTAAATTAAGACTGTATTTACTAATCATAAATGGTAACACTCAGTACAATTCAACGGCCCCCAATATTTTAAAAACAATTTTGATTTTTTGGGCATAAACGTATCGATTTTTGTAAATACGGATGTCTAAACGCGACATTATCGGGAAATAAGGGCGGTAACTATAGTATAGTTAAAATTTATTAATTTTTTAAACATTTCCTCAAAAAGCATTTTCGTAAGTAACTATAAAGCCAAAATACCTAAAATTCAATAATATATTAGATTGTTAAGAATATTTTCATAATTTTTTAAGATTACTTGGTAGTTAAAAAATTATTGAAAAAGGCATTAACGTTATGTACGTCAAGTAAATGTTACAGTTATGTCACTCTTAGAAAAAATTCACAAACTTAAATCGATAAAGAAATTCGTCAACACCTCATAAAAACAGAAAGCTGTGCGTTAAAAAATGCTTTTCTGTGATTTTTTAAAGTAAAAGTAAATAATTTCAAATCACATTAATTAAACTCCAAGTCAGGTAATCTTCCTCAAATAAAGTCTATTTTATTTTTTCAATATGGAGGATTTTAGTGTTTTTACTGATAATAAAAATAATTACAATCAATTTAAATTCAGTTTGAAATACAGCAGAGTATTTTGCTTACTGGGAATATTAACTTTAATCTGTTAGCTTGAAATTAAAACTAAAATAAAAGCTACAAGAAAGATTTTTAAAAATGCATTTTAAACTTTAGGTATCTCTTTTATTTGGAGATCCCCCCTCTCTCTCTCTAAGAAAGAAATTCGGATTACTAACACAGAAAATGTCTCATATCAAGAATATTTAACATTGAAAAACAAAAGAAAAAATTAATTATTTTTAATAATATGTGAAAATCTCCACTTTTACCTGAAGACGGTCACGAGACCAGAAACTCGTGTAGTACAATTATGTAAAACAAAGCATAATATTTTTTCTAAATAAATCCTCATTACAACCAAAAACGTTTGCGGCACCTCTCTTCTCTTCTTTTTAATATACATACTTTTCTCTCGTTGGAACCACTACAACCTCTTTTTTTTATATATATATATATATATATATATATATATATATATATATATATATCATTTGCAGACAGTATCGCTTTGTAGCTCCTCAGTGCTACTGGACGTCCCGAAGCCTCAAGCCAGGATCAAAACCCGACCGATTTAGTGTCAGCCGGAGTCTCTACCCCTAAGCCATTAGCACTCAGCAGAGAGCTAATTCTAGCGTATTGTTTTTACGAATATAAACAAACGCCAGTCAGCCAGAGTGCTCCTATTCATTTTACCGAAGAGCTTTGCGTTTTAGTGTAAGCGGCTTCTGTTTGTAGAATTAGGCTGTCTCTCATTGAAATACCCCACACACGCATCTAAATATACACTGAGATAAACTTGAATATTCCTATTTATATTTGATTGCACACATGCCAAATACGCACGGACACATGTTGCTTACTTCTAAATAGGTGCATAAGTTTAAATATCTGGGAAGCGTTTTGATAGTGCGACACTGAGATCCGTTGATTATTGGGACGGCCAAGGACGCATTCCAAAAGCTGGGAAGAGTATTGTGAGACTGGTAACAAAGAAAAGAATACTGAGCAGTTACGTGACATCTGCCCTTCTTTATGGCAGCGAATGTTGGACGATTTCCTCAAAGATGAAGAAGGGACTCGAGCCGACAGAGATGTGGTTCTATAGAAGGATGCTAAGGATATCATGGACCGGGCGTGTGAGCAACGAAGAGCTCTTAGAGAGGTTGCAAACAAGGAGGAGGCTTATACTTAATATCAGGAAGAGGCAGCTGAAGTTTCTGGGACATATAATGAGGAAGGAGGGCCTGGAGAATCTGATACTCACGGGTCGAATAGAAGGTAACAGAGACGTGGTTCTGGGGGAGGGAGCAGAAGGAAGGAAGTTGTTGAAAGCGGCAAGTGATAGGGAGAGGTGGAGAGCCATGATCGCCTACGTCCTGAAATGACATGGTACATAAAAAGAAAAAAGATTCAGTATTCATACTACACACCTATTGCCAGACAGGTCAACCTTTTCTGAGATTAATTGATCTCCGTTTGACATCTTCTCCTCCACTGCTATGCAATCTTTCCATAGAGATGAAAAATGAATTTGAGAAGAAAAGACTAACTAATTAGAATTTAAAACTGTATTCTTACATTATTTTTCTACATTGTTATTATTACACACACATGCTCATACGCGCACAAGCACAAGCACGCACGCGCACACAATGAAGCGAAAACACGCAATTATATATTAACGTATGTGTGCATGTAAAAACATAAACATCTGTTCATATACATAGATATAAGTACATTTACTGATAAAGTGAAAAGCAAAACGGAAAAAGGAAGTAATATATTATTAAGAAAAAGAAAGAAAACGGGTCAAATTAAATGAAGTTACTCGGTACGAAAGAGATGGAGGGAGAGAAAGTGATGAAAGGAAGGAAAAGGGTTTTGGCGGGATATCGAACTTTTATGAAAAACTTTTCACAACTTCCCATCACGAAAATTCGGAAATAGCGTGCACACGATAGATAGATAGATAGATAGATAGATAGATAGATAGATAGATAGATAGATAGATAATGAACAGACTGAGATAGATAGATAGATAGATAGATAGATAGATAGATAGATAGATAGATATGAAGTACATAAGATATGTATATGAATGATATAGCCTCGACTGTTTTTCTGTCTACTTGGTGGCAGAAAGAGTAGCGAATTTTCTTTCTCTCACTTTAAGAGTTTTTTTTTCGAATTTTTAGCGTCTAGGTTCGGCGCGAATGAGGTCAACATAATTATTTATTTGTAAAGCCTTCGATAGATTCTTCCCACCGCTCTCTCTTGAGTGTGTATTCACCACTTACACACGTATGTTTATATTCATTCTATGATAGCCATTAATAGATTTTCATCACGTTCTTACTTATATAGCAACTAAAATTTATTAAAAATTTACGTTCAAAATACAACCAGGACAAAAATTTTATCCCTAATTAATTTTCTAGTCTGCCTTTGAAATATATCTCTTGATTGCAACTGTGGCATACAGATTTCCCATCCTTATACTCAATGTTTAGTTCCATAAATAAATATGAGAGAGAGAGAGAGAGATAGATAGATAGATAGATAGATAGATAGAGAGAGAGAGAGAGAGAGAGAGAGAGAGTGTGTGTGTGTGTGTGTGTGTGTGTGTGTGTGTGTGTGTGTGTGTGTGTGTAAATTTAAGTTTATTCATGCCCGAAAATGAAAATATCCCTTGTTCGGTGCATAAAGAAAGTTGCAGAAACCATATCCAGTGCCGAAAACACAAATGAGGAAATAATTAAAAGTAGACAGGCCTTGGGATGCAAAGAAATAAAAAAAAAAAAAAAAGAAGAAGAAGAAGAAGAAAAAATCAGCTGATGTTGTGAATCAGACTCCATTTTGAGACACTGATCAAGCATTTTTTTTCAGAAGCAATTATAGACATTTTAGGTAAACAAGAAACAAGATGAAAGCCAAAATTTTGTAATTAAAACAAGTTCGTTATTTCATACAGTCATTTTGAAAAAATATCTTTTCAATTATGTAATCTATTTTTTTTTTTTTTTGCTGAATTAATTTTCCCCTTCTTTTTCTCTTATTGCAATTTCTTTTTGCATTGATGTCATATAAACTTTTTTTGTACAAGAACTTCTCGAATGTTTTTTCAATTACTGTTAATATATATAAGATAAATTTTCAAAGATATATTTTTGAACCTATAATTATTGTACACTTTTATTGCTTTGCATCACTGCCTTCTGCCATCTCTGAGGACATCCTACCATTCTTTGCAAACAACTAGTCTAAGGAACTTTTGCACTGTTCCCGGGAATTGTTCTTTTTCCTATTAAGATTATTCTCGAAAGACCAAAGGTGCAATATCTGGTGGATACGGCGTGTGAGTAATAATTTCCAAGCCAAACTATAATTATTTTTGTTTGGTAATTGAAGAAACGTTTAGCCTGGCGTTGTCAAGATGGAATATTATTTCCTTTCTCTGAACTACGCACAATCTTCGTCGATTGCTGCATTCTATTGTTCTAACGGAAACTTTCCTAATCAATTGTTTGCTAATTCAAAAGGAGCTCATAACAGAGAACTCAGGCCCATTGCCAACAAAGACAGAGGATCAACTTTGAATGAAGACCGAACTTTGGTACGCTTACTAGTTTTTCATTACATTTGCTTCGCGATCACTGCATTACAAATTGTTGCAAAATATCTACTTTTCGTCAGTCAACATTTATTTTAAAAATACAACATTCATATACGGTACAATAGGCCTTATGATTTAACTTGCATTGAAACTAAACATAAATGTGACTAATATAAACAAACAAGTGTAAATTACTTTCACGTCTTGTTGTGGATGTTTCGAATATGTTGTCTCTTCTCCGTGTCAGGTTAGAGGGATTGATCACTCACTCTTTTAGGTTTGTGTTAGGTTAGTGATCACTCACTCTTTTGATTTGATCTCTCTCAACTAAATCTAGGGAACAAGACAATTTTGACACGTTTTATCATTCAATTTAACTTATCCATCAGCTGTTGAAAATGTTTTTAACTGAGACGCAATTTTTACCTGAATTGCTTAAAATAACGAAAACGTTACTTAATGTTCAAACTTCAATGTTAAAACGAATAAACAAATATGTATCAGTTATGATAACTTATAAAAAAGCATACTAATAACACAGCAGTCACAATTCACAAAAGGTTTTTCGTAAAAATTCAATTAAGTTGGGTTATAAAAAGTTTTCGATTCGACCCACTACCTTTAAATCTGACCAAATGACCAAACATCAAATTTTAGTGCACCTTGGTCATCATTTAACCGCTCCTGACTACATATATATATATATATATATATATATATATATATATATATATATATATAGAGAGAGAGAGAGAGAGAGAGAGAGAGAGAGAGAGCATTTTTTCTTTAATAAGATTTCAGACCGGTAGACACACAGACACAGACACACACATATATTATTTTATTATTAAAGATTATAATAAAAACATATTGAAATCGCTACACAAAAGCTTTCATGTTTCAATACTTTTTACTCCATCTGTTCTTTTTCCCATTTCTCTCTCTCTCTCTCTCTCTCTCTCTATATATATATATATATATATATATATATATATATATATATATCAGCATTACGGGGGTGGAGGATTTCCTAGACTGAAGTAAACGGGCTAGGTGGTTTATCTCCGAGTGGAATATATATATATATAACGAATGGCCAGAAGATTGCGTTCAAGACTCTTGTTGCTTGGTGTTGACCTTATTTTTATATGCACTTTATCGCTGATATTGAACACGTTTAACCATAAATATAGTGTATCTCAAAACTATGTTTTTTTATCATATATATATATATATATATATATATATATATATATATATATATATAAAACACTTCAGAGTGTCAAAAGGAAAAATAAGGGAGAAAGTAACTTTTTTACTCTTGGCGCGCGCGCACACGCACAAATCTACAAGCGCAAATGTATGCATGCACTCTCACATACGTGTGTGTTTATGTATGTGTGTGTACAGTGATTTAAATTTTAAAAGTTATATTCAACGTAAAACCCATCGCTGAATCTATGATCCCCATACTTATTGTACTTATCTGTTCATAAAATTCTCATTCACAACCACGCTTTATTAATGTCCTTAAGTAAATTTCAAAAGGTCTAATATTCATAAAAATGAATGGGATTTACGGAAAGGCTAGGTATGATTAAAACCAGACATTTATACTTCTTAGTTTTTCAAATTTGCGTCAATTGTGAAGATGGTTTTTATCTGCTTACAGATATAAATGCGTGGATCCTTGTAAAAATGGATTCCTGAAAAAAAAAAAAATGGCAGAATATACGATGAGTGCTGAAAAGCTCTTGGCTGAACGAAGCAGTTTTCCCCAAAAAGATGATTTATTTCGTCAGATTTTGGGAAATGTGTTAAGCCGAGAACTTGTTTTTGTTGCTTTTGAAATAATAGTGATGTTTATAGTGTTTTCGTTGCTTTTAGTGATGATAGTGATAATAAGATAAAAGATCCTAAATACTAAGCTAGTTTGTTGTTCAGTCTTTATTCTTATTGTAGTTATACATGGCGTTGTCTTCATTAAAGGTCTACTGATCAAGCCTTTTATTTTAACTGGTGAACTTCCAGAGATAAATCAGGTATGAATAAAATTAATTTGCTCTGTTCCTCGGCTCATTCAGTCTATTTGACTCTATCGTTGATATTCTTAATCACAGCTTTAAGTAAAACTGAGAGAGAAAACGTTACGATTTCATCCAGACGCTGTCATAGATCTGGAAAGACTCAATTGATACTGGCAGACAACTTTATATCTAAAACATTTAAGATAAAAACACTATAGTAATATCAAATATTGAAGATGCTTAATCGACATCATTACTTCAATAAATAAAAGAAAACAATATATGCCATAAAATTACAGTTATCACTGATTATTGATTCTTATGATGACTAAAATTCTAGGAAGATCAATGCAGTGGATGGCTTAATCAAGGCAACTTTGAAGTTTGGAGAGAATACAACGTAGACACTTGTAATAAACAATGTACACAATCAGATAGTTAACAGTTTTCAACCTTCCTAGTAATGGATATAAAATAGTTTTTTTTTCTGGTCAGTAGGGAAGTTCTAGCAATTAGCTTAAAATGATGAGAAATACAGAGCCTCAATGAAGTTTTGTCTTCGCCAACTGTATGCTCTCTATATACATAAATATAAAGAATATATTTTATCTCATATATATATATATATATATATATATATATATATATATATATATATATATATGTTGAAACTTGACTAATGCATGAAATAATAATACAACACAAAATGTACTTAGAACAAAATGTATTGAAACAAGAAAGTGTACACAATATTTACATATAGTCTTTTGTATATTCCTGGGAAGACCGTTCCTGGAGAATGTGTTGACTTAGTCGCAGTCGGGCAGAGTCTCTGGATTGAATCTCTTGATTCCTCTCCTTCTCTTCCCGGTACCAACCATATTTATATGGTCGGTACTCCACTATGCAAATTAGGTGGATCCTACCACAACAATATATGTGTGTGTGTGTGTGTGTGTGTGTGTGTGTGTGTGTGTGTGTGTGTGTGTGTGTGTGTATTTATTATGCATTATTTTAATACCTATACTAATTCGATGTGAAAAAAAATAGATAACACAATTTTTAAATAAAAAATATATTTATACAAACCGATATCAGGGAAAAAAATCAGTAAAAAAAGAAAAGACTAAAGACATCCGTGTTGGTAGAAAATAATCAATCAGCACTGTAATGCTTAGACACAAGAAAAACACCGACAAAATAAATTAAGTAAAAACGTAAATGTTCTCAATACATTAAGTAGAGCAAAATCTAAAAAAAATCTAGTGAGCCAGAACCTATCTGCCAAGGTTTCACCTAACGGATGTTCAGGTTACTACTGGAGCCAGTAAGTACCCTTGAAGATCCGTTAGTTGAAAACTTGGGCTGTAGTTTCTGTCCCACTAGGTTATATATATATATATATATATATATATATATATATATATATATATATGCATACATATGTGTGTGTGAACATACATGCATACTCACGTACGTACCTGCGCGATCGTATATTAACGTGTAAATGCAGAAACAGTTATGAATTCCGATATGATTGTTTATACGTAGATATTCGAATGATTGTCTTATGAAACGTAACGCACTTATAATTTTATTTACATTTATCTGAAGTCACCATATATATGGCCGAATATGAACACAAACCCAGATAATACAATATATAAATAAAAATAGATTTTAACAAACCAATATCAGGGAAAAAATTCAGTGAAAAACAGAAAATACTAATGATCTCCAACATGGAGGTGGAAAATAAACAGCCAGCACCGCAATTCCCAGTCAAAAGAAAAAAAAGAAAGAAAAAAAACACCGACAAAGTAAATTAAGTAAAAACGTAAAAGTGCTCAATACACTAAGTAGAGCCAAATCTAAAAAACACCCCCCCACAAAAAAAACCCAGTGAGCCAGAACCTATATATAAAGAAATAAAGAGAAAGAGGTGGGCGTAGATAAAGAGTGACTAAAATCTTGATGAAAAGATTGTCTCTTACGTGTTACCACTTCTATTTTCCAAAGTCTAAGGATTCTAGTGCATAGAAAAACAGAAGGTTTGTATTTTCAAAGTCTCTTGAAGCATTGGTTTATTTATTAACGCACAAATACAGATCTTTTATAATCGGCAAAATTTTTTACAACTTTTTCTGTTTAAAAGAGGCTCGTCAATTCTAAGCAATCACGAATAATTTTGACACTCATACTGGAGATAATATTAAAAGATAGTTTTAAATAGAATTGATCCATTTTGCTTAATGGGTAGATTGAATTAATTTGCCTTGAAACTTATGATTACATAACAAGCAAACATTAGATACTGCGTCAGGTGCACAGAGACAACGGCACGTACAGATCTTCCAGTAATGATGATTTTGATTGCACTATTGTATCTTTTTTTGTGTCGGCTTTATTGAGGTTATTGAGTTTGTGACATTGCACACGGTCGACTCTTCAATTGTTTTACTGTCTTCATACATACGTGTTTACGTAATTGCGTCTAGTAATATTGTCTTATGATTTAAGAAGAGCATTCAAGACATGAAATGTATTCATTTCCAGTATGCGACATTCTTGTTCATTTTTTTGCTTCAACATCTGTAATCCAATACTTTTCATAATTTCGACAATTGCTAATTTCTCTTTAAGCGCGTAATGTTCTTTTTATTTTGCCCAGGAGCTGAAGCCGGTTGGTGGCAATTGCAGTACAAAATGCTTTTGCTCAATTATGCTGTCATCTTTCTTCTTAGTGATGCATGAAGAAGCACAAAGAATTTTTGCACTTATTCACATGCAGACGCACAACGATGAAATCGTACACGATCCTTCAAGTTATATTCAGACAATTTATACATTTGCAATTATATTTTCTTTTTGCATCTACACACCTGAATACATGCACATAAAAATAACAAAAATATTGATATATTGACAGAACATTAAAAACAAATTCTAAATAAAGTTCTTAATATATTTACCTATTGATATAATGCACAGATATTTATATTCTTATGAAGACATATTTGTGTTGACTTATACCCACGCAAATATGTACTTATGAATAACATGCATGCGTGTATAGAATACATGATTACAAAGTAGGTGCATGCATATATTTGCGCACATATACAAAATATATGTATGAAGTAAGCGTATATATGCTCGAAAATTCAAACACACAAACATATTTACAAATATGCATTTAAAAGCGCAAATTTACACACACACACACACATATATATATTTATATATATACTACAGCTGATGTGCTTACGGCCATCACTGAAACCGTCTACCAAGCCCTTCAAAATAAAGGTGAGGCTCGTGCCGTGGCCCTAGACATCTCCAAAGCGTTTGATAGGGTTTGGCATGCCGGCCTTCTTCGCAAGCTCCAGGGTTATGGTATTACAGGTCGGTTGTTTGACCTAATACAATCATTCCTGTCAAACCATGAATTGAAGGTCATTCTCAAAAGATTCTCCTCCAGTTCCTATCCCACGAACGCAGGTGTTCCTCAAGGTTCCATTCTTGGCCCCACTCTATTCCTCATTTTCATCAACGACCTTCCTGACGCCATAGATTCCCAAGTTGGCATCTACGCAGACGACACTACAATTTATTCCTGCCTCAAAAACAAATCTAGTGTCGGTGACAAAACTAACCTGGCCGTGCGTCTTGAAATGGACCTCCAATCGGTTGTTAATTGGGGCAAGAATTGGCTGGTCATCTTTAACGCCTCAAAAACTAAACTGCTCTCTATTAATCACCATAGAGATCCTTCCCTGCCCCTATTAGAATGTCTGATGCTCAACTTCTTGAGAGCAACTCCTCGCGTCTGCTCGGTCTCACGTTGACTGCTGACCTGAGATGGAACAAATACATTGAGTCAATTGCTTCGTCCACCGCAAGGAAAGTTGGTTCCCTGTGCTGCGCCAGGAAATTTTTCTCCCCGGAATCGATACTTTAAATATACAAATCAACCATTCGCCCTTGCATGGAGTATTGCTGCCATATATGGTCTGGTGCACCTTCTGTTTACCTCGGAGTTCTTGACAAGATCCAGAGGCGGATATGTAATATAACTGGCCCTGATCTGGAATCTCGCCTACAGTTGCTCTCTCACAGACGCGCCGTCGCCTCACTCTGTCTTTTTTTACAAATACTTTCATGGTAATTGTTCCGATGAGCTGCTTTCACTAGTTCCCATGAATTCAAGCGCCCTACGAGGCTGGCATCCCGCTCTCACCCTTTCACTGTAGAAACATTTAAATGTAGCCGTCTCTTCTACTCCAATAGTTTCATATCTCGCACCTCTCGCCTGTGGAACACCCTTCCCTATTACAGTTTCCCTGAGAGCTATAATCTCCAACTATTCAAATGTAATGTCAATCGACATCTCCAGTTACCTTGATCTATCCACTATCCTTCTCCACACCCTTTCTTCTATCACTCCTATCCGCTCTCGCTCCAAATCTTCTGCAATCCCCTGCATCCTAGTGGCTTTCCGCCTTGCTCGGGGCGTAAGGCTTAAAACAAATATATATATATATATATATATATATATATATATATATATATATATATCTGTTTCGGAACCGAAAATGTATCGGGAATCAACAAAACAACCAAGTGATAATCGCGCTTAGAACATGGATATGTCGTCTGTTTTCGCCACCCTCCATTATTTGAGTCAAGTAAAGCCTAAAAATTGGAATAAGAACATTTCGTTTCTGAAAAACATGACAATCTAAAAACTTTACATGCATCGACTGGAAACAAAATACATTAGAAAGCGAAATCAGTAATCGTTTAAGTTTTCGCTACAAACAGCTACCATCGTTTTGGTCTAATGTTTTTCAGAATAAGATGAACATGTAACACTCTTTAACAAGAAATCCTACTTCGTGCTGGCGTCATTAACATAGTAAAATGGAAGATGGCGAGCAAAAGTGAGGGCAATCTTAAGCAATCGTCATTTTTAAAATCCTAATTCTATTTAAAAATATTTACTTTCGCACATATTTTCCAGGTCCGACTTAAATGTTTTTCAAAACGAATGACTCGAATTCGAACGTGTAAGCGATATTTTGGTTTTTGTATTGGTTTCAATATTGAATAACAATAAAACGGCGTATCTGTATGTATTTGCATAATTTGAAAACTTTTGAAAATGTGATGGGAATGGAATAAGATTGAAAAAGGATGTGTGTAGTCTGGGAAAAAATTAAAAAAAGAGAAAAAGCAGAGAAAATAGAGAAAGAGGGAAAATAGAGAAAGAGGGGAATAAAGAAAGAGGGGGAAATAGAGAAAGAGGGGTAATAGAGAAAGAGGGGAAAAAGTGAGAGAGTGGAAATAGAGAAAGAGGGGTAATAGAGAAAGAAGGGTAATAGCGAAGGAGGGGAAATAGAAGAAGAAAATAGAGAAGGAGGTAAAATAGAGAAAGTGGGGAGGGTAGAGAAAGAGGGAAAGTAGAGAATGTGTCGAAATAGAGAAAGAGGGAAAATAGAGAGAGAGGGGAAAAGAGAACGTGTAAGAAAATTTTTTACAGAGAATTGGATTGGAGGGGAATACCGCGATTTCGAAAAAATTGAATGAAATAAGCAGTGATGCCATTTATAACAATTAGCTAAGAACGTCAAATACCAGCCGGTCTGTCGCGGAAACCAAATATTCTAAGCTGAAGATTTTCTGTTTATTCAAATCTCTTTGGTGAACCACAAGAAAATGCCTGGTGTAGGTAAAAAGACTCCTTTCACAGTTTAATCTAGCTTGATTCCGGTTAGAGATTTGATTACGTTACTTTTCTATCAGACACATTTACTTTTATGGATTTCAATTCAAGAAGATCGACCACTTTTCTTTCGTGGTTGGTGCATTTATAGCAGCATCTTTGTAGGAGATCCATCACATTGTTGGTGAAAGAATGGATTTCCAAGTTATTAAGAGAGTCCTAACTTGTCCTTTTTTTATTTATACCAGGTGTTTTTAGCGTGATTGTGCCTGGTTGTGTTTCTTGATCATAATAACCACTCAGTAGACAGTGCGAGACAAAACTTTAAGAAATAGTTAGATCAGAAGCAACTCAGAAACAACCCCGTTTGATATGTGACACGCACCGGTAGTCGCGGTCGCAGTCTAGCGTCAATATGTGACGTCCGTTTATATGGACATCGACCAAAACCGAGTTGGGGCTTGTCGTGGTTTGGGTTCTTTGACAATTCTTAATTCCTAACCAAAGGTTTACTTTGTCCCCAGAAGAAGAAAATTTATTACTTCCCATTTTTAGAAGCTAATCACTTTCCCTTTCGGGGTTTTTCTCCCTCGTCCGTGAGGAGAGGTCGGAGGAGAATTATCCTCCTAGACTCTTCTTTTCTCATATTGGTATCTCATACCAATCCTCTTAGTGGGTGTCAACAACTTCCCCGCCTTTCTCATACGTTCACCTTCGCCCATCACTCACGCCACCACTCAGCCAATGATCGCTCGGTCGCGTGGGTGTGGCTTGACTTGGCCTTCTTAAAATTATCGCCTAGAAAAAGTTCTCTTTTCCTTTCTTTCCTTCTTTTCTATCGGCCAGAATTCTTATGAATTTCACGTGGCCCTAATTAAAATTTTATCTTATCCTGAGCCACTCAAGATCCACTTAGCAGAATCTCCACCGATTCATTAATCACTGCTAGTCAGCTTTCAAACTGGGTGGTAGTTTTTACTTAATAAACAAATTCTTTATTTTTCTCGTGTATTAAAATTTTCGTGGCAACAGATGCTCATTTTCGAGTCACCACGTCTGTCAATAATAATGATCCCTCCTCTCGACCCTCTCTTCTCATGTCAAGATCCGGACATACAACAGATGGGTCTCCTCGCTGGACACAAGAACCAAAAATAAATGATATCTCTGAAAGATAATTAGTGGCTATTCTTTTAGGGTGGTCTCACTGAAATTCCTTCCCGGTCGCATGCGTGGCCCAGTTTTGTTTATCTTTTAGAATTCTGTTTTCCTTGCCGTGGTCACTATCTGATCATGACATTAATTCTGACAAAATCCGAAATCTGGTTTTCTATTACGGATTTTCTGTCTTCTGCGAAAAATTATCTTTCCTCGTAAATTAAATAAAATCTTTTCACATTCATTTTTTTTTTAAATGTCGCTCGGTCTGTCTTTCGTTATAGCTCTTTCTCGCCTTAAGTATTTCTCGTTTTTAATTTCTATGCTTAATTAGTTAGCCAATTACCATAGCTAAATAGTGTCACAGACATATATTAGTAATATGCTACTATCTATCTATGCTACATAAAAGTGAGTTCAAAATAAATGCTGATGTTTGGTCAGGCTTTTAGAAATGCGTTAGATAGATAAACTTCTAGCACATCTCGCATCTTTTCCTTCAGACGATGATGAAATTTCTTATATATTAACATAAAAAGGTCATGGGATAGGTATCTCGTTTCATACAAGATACACTCTAACGAAGTGCAGCAATACGACGTGGCATCAATTACACGATGGATAGAAGATTTCTAGAGACATACTAAAGCAGGACGTCTAAAGAGCTGTTCATGGCTCCTTGATATATGTAAATGCAGAATCTGCGAATAGATCTCTCCACTATGTTCCCTAAATTCCCGATTGTACTCATATCTGGAGAAAGTGATGGACAATCAATTCATCTGAAGTCTCCTTCAATCTAATTCCCGGCATCTTGAACCTGTTAGCCAGTTGCCATTATCCTGCTGAAATAACCCATTCTATGATGTCATTGGTTTCCCAACAACAAATATGCTGAAACATCAAAAGAAAATGGTTAAATCCATCACTTCACCCTTTGAAAATATGCAGCACAAACGTCCATCCCATACGATAACAATCTAATCACAATCCGAATATTCATTTAAAAAAAAGAAAATCTGGAATATTACTGGCTCACTTTACTTTATACAAGACTTTGATTTATGACACTAAGTGCTCTCCACATGCTTTGACTGTCCTTCCAATCAACTGATAAACATTCATGAAATTTCTCAAATTTATAAGCCTTGATAAACCAATGATATCCATCGCCTCTGTATATAAACACGTGTAGCATAATAAATCCTACATTGCCTTGATAAAGTCACTCAGAGGACGAAACGCATCGGTTAAGTATAGTTTATCCTCATGTCTCTTTTTATTCATTTTGTCTCCTCTACACGGTGTATATATATAGAGGTAGAATGTGTATACACATACTGGCAAAAGCACACACACAATACACAAAAATAGAAGAACTGAATACAGGGGGACATAAAAAGAGAAGAACAAAGATATCTTCCTTTCTTTCTTTTTCTGTGAACAAATTTAATTGTTTTATTACACCTCAAGCAAAGGAACATTTTTCGGCCAGTCCAAAATGAATTCAGATGACTACTACAGCACACAAAAGACAAAGGTTAAAAGATTTAACATAGGAAAGAAAAAAATTAATTCCTTTAAATAACATGCGGAAATAACCATTTTTTGTCTGATGAAGGTCACAAGACTCGAAACCCGTGTAGCAAAATATATAGAATAAATTATATAAAATAATCCACATTATAATCAAAAACGTTTGTGCCTTTTTCTCTTTTTAATATATACATATATATATATATATATATATATATATTGAGAGAGAGAGAGAGAGAGAGAGAGAGAGAGAGAGAGAGAGTGAGAGAGAGGATGATTTTAAGGTAATTTGCATGTGCCCCTCGAGATGATGTTGCTGATTTTTTGGGAGTATCTCCTCATTTTCTTTGACTGTCATGATTATAATTTGATGAATATTTCTGAAAAATTGTTAAGTGAGCTGTGTTGGTTTCAGTTTCCATAGTAATCGAGAAAAAAAAATCATTTTCATAAGCATTACATTAACTTGAGAATATTATTTAAGTTTGCACATAATTTTTTTCAGTTAAACATATTAAGTAGAGTTTTGTCAGCTTTTTAGAAACGAACTGTATAGCCCATTGCAAAAGTGGATACTTCTCTTGGGGAATATCATTTGCGCCGAAAAACATGCAGTGCTTATACACAGTAAGACCATATCTATCAGTCTCTCTGCGTCCTGGCACAAGACTACAAGGGCGTGACGGTACAAAACACTCCTAAGAGCGTTATCAATTTAACTATCAGCGATCCGATCACTTCAAATCACTTTATGAATTCTTCCCTTTTTATAAAGTTGTTCTGAAGTGCACTTTACCTCTTTAATACAGAAGATTTTGAAAAGATCTTTCTTTCTCACACACATTTTGAAAATCCCCCTTTCGCACGTCTTACATAAAGTATCTATGCCGAAAACGTCATGACAGCCAATCAGTCGATGATTATTTATAATTTTATTTGACTCCAACAAAAAGAGAGTCATGATCTTGATTTATTCTGTCCTTTTCTTATCAATCGAATAAAAAAAATTGTTTTATAAAAAGTTGAAAGTATAACTGAAGAAATATATCAACCCCGATCATGAGCTTCTGAAAGGTCCTCAAACCAACTTCCTAAAATCTTACATCAAAAGTATTTTTTTGAAAAGATTTCTTGGTCTGACGGTTAAATTTTCAACACCTTTCTATATTTAAAACATCTAACCAAGGGCCGTCCTGGGTATGACGATAAACTGTCCAACAGCAAGGCCTCTGATCAGGAGGTTTTGAGGAGCGTGGAACCACCTCTTAATTGCTGGTGTTCTCAGGTCCACCCTGACCCGAGATGGCAACACCTGTTAGAGTCCTAACTATGGGCAAATAGTTAACCCCCAAACTGGGGTCAAAACGCAATGAAAGTGTAAAAATAGGTTTTAATACTAGCAATAAATTTTTGAAGGAAAGATTATTACCAGCAATACATTATTGCCAGCAATACATTTTTTAATAAAATAAATAGTACCAGTAATACATTTTTTAGGAAAACAATATTACCAGCGATGCATTTTTTGAAGAAAAATATTACCGGCAATAAAATTCTTGTCGACATTAAATAACCAATTGCGGTTGATATGGCATAAAACAAAACAAACCAAATAAAATCAATCAAACCGAGGAAAAAAAGTAAAAATTACTTTTATAAGTATAACTTCATCAAAATAATCAGTTTTGTCATGTAAAATGAGGGAGAGAGAGAGAGAGACAGAGAGAGAGGGGGGAGGGAGAGAGAGTGGGGGGAGGGAGGGAGAGTGGGGGAGGGAGGGAGAGAGAGAGAATGAATTAAAGTGATTGAGCTAGAGAGAATATAAACTCACATACATATTTTTAACCAGTATTACCTCAAGCAAGGAATTATAGTCACTAAACCACAAAGGGTGTGGAAGAATTAGGAACAGAAAGATTAGTAATGAGTAGAAAGAGAAAAAAAAACTAATCAGGAGGACACTAGATAGTGATTGACATTGAATTTAAATTTTTGCAGATTAAATTTGGCTGGAAAGCTTGGGGCCGGAAGAGAGTTTCACAACCGAGATGTGCGAGAAAAGAAACTCTTAGCATAGAACTGTAAATTGAGATCTCGACGCCAGTTTAGTACTGCGCTTAAATTCATAGAGTCTAGGTACCATAGCGAAGAGCTCATCCGAATAATTACCATGAAAGTATTTATAAAA